AGTGAAGGTTAGAACAGGAGGGGACACCTGAGGAGACACACGGGGTGAAAGACCACCGCTTGGATGACAAGAAAAACAAACTAGAAAGGGACAGGGCGAGGACACCTGATCGACCAACGCCAAGGGGGACGGGACGGAGGAGGAGGGGCAGCGATCTCAAATCCACGGAGCAGAACTCCAGTGAGTGCAGATGAGCATCGCACTCATTACAACAGGCAGGTGGATGAGAGAGGCGCGAAAGAGGCGCCTCGCCGCTGCCGAACTGCCCTCCGGGGCGGCCTTGTAGAAGCCCCAGGCGTAGTAGATGAGGGCGGCGTTCACAGGCAGGCTGCCGAGACCGAGAGACCAACCGGCCCAGGGGCCCAGACTGACGGCGCTGCAACCGGCGCCTGCCAAGCAGACGAGGGCACAGGCAACTGCGTGACGCAGAGAGGTGCGCTTACAGAGGCCTGGATTCACATTGGAGGTCATGACGTAGCCGGCCCTGGCGTAGTCCTGTCGTAGGTTCCAGCTCAGCGCCATGAAGTGGGGGAACTGCCAGCAGTACAGTAGGCCTGCCAACATTAGAGACCCTGAAACGCAGAAATAACAGGCTACTTAAACAACCTGCGTATAAGGACACTGTCTTGTAATAACCCAGGAGGAAAGTTTAGCAGGCTAACATCGGCTAGCACTGTGATTCAGGAGGCAGAACATGTAGATGAGTTCACAGACGTGGTTGGGCAGCTTACGGGAAAGGCACCTGGTACGTAGGTCCCAAGCCTCCATCGGGAAGTAAATAGTTGCTAGTTGTGCCTCCCCCCGCCTCTGCCTTCTTCGACACAGATGCCTAGTGGCTGGTGCGAGTGTCGTGGGGACCGCCTCCATCCAACGCAGAAGATGTGCTAAGTCATGAACTGTTAACCGGAATTCTAAAATGCATTTTGGACTCGAAAAGGCTACTAAAGTAGGGTTGTAATATTGATCAGCGTGCAGCATAACCTCATGATAATTCAGTCACTTCAGAATGCCGGCTTTTGAACGAATTTTTTTGCGGCTGCCTGCAAAAACTACACTCTGTAAAAAAATGACTCTTAAACACCATGAATTTTTCTCATTGATTTTCGATGCCGCTAGAAACCCAATTATATTTCATGGAAAACATGCATAAAAATATTCATTCTTTTGCTTATTTGGCAGACAATTACGTCTTCTTCCAATTTTGTACTCGAACGAGGGATACAATTCAGTTTTCAAAAACGTTTCCAATGTCCTAATAATGTTGAACCAGCTCTCACGTTACACTTGGATTCAGGGTTTCCGCATAAGGAAAACCGCACATTTCTCCAAGGTAGTAGAGAGAGACCATGTAAGGTTAGTAAAACGTAGCAGTGAATTTGATCCGCATTGTTAATTTCACAAGCCACACTGGTAAATGTAGAGACATGACGATTTATGAACGGCCATCTCACGTTATTAAAAACATCAAAATTAGAAACTTTTTTTAAAACCGAATTATGTCCCTCTTTCCGGTATAAAATTGAATGAAGACGTAATTGTCCACGGACTGAGTGAAAGACTGAAAAAATTTTATGCATTTTTTCCACGAAATATAAGTGGAAATTTAGGGGCATCGAAAATGAATGAGAAAATTTCGTGCTACTTATGTGGTCATTTTTTACAGAGTGTAGTTTTCGCATGCAGTCCGTTCGAAAGTCGGCATCCCGAGGTAGCTGAATTATTATAGAATTGTGCTGCAGGTTGACTAGTTTTACAACCCCACTTAATTAATCTTTTCGAAACAAAAACGCATTTCCGAATTTCGGTTGACATTTCATGAGTTATACCACCTACTGTATATTCCCTGCAAGTGCTACTCCCTTGCATCCTCTGGAATGCGCAGTTGCTGGAAGGAGTGGCGTTTACTGCTATGGCAACCACTGTCTATCCGAAGCGGAGCGTCTTTGAGTTACGACACCCCGTCCCTCCCACTATTTTCAAGGTCGTCCGAGATATTTCGGAGATGTGGCGCCAGCAGTTTAACTAGGGACAAAACCCACAGTAAAGGCTGACTGGCAGGAGTGACAGAGCAATATCGATTTAAAGCGTGCTTAAACTTTAACTGTTTTGCACGCCTGCTTCAATTCTAAGGACGAATTGGAGAACCAAAGTCGGCAATTTACGAAACAAATTGTGCTATCTTTCCCAGATGACTTATTTCCTTCGGATATATACAGTAGGCGGTCCAACTCATGAAATGTCAACCGAAATTCCGAAATACGTATTCGTTTCGAAAAGACTAATTAGGTAGGGTTGTAAAACGAGTCAGCATGCAACATAATTCTATAATATTTCAGTTACCTATGGATGCCGGCTTTCGAACAAACATCTTTGCAGCTGCATGCATAAACTATACTCTGTAAAAAGTGACTACTTAAGTAGCATGCATCTTTCTCATTGATTTTCGATGCTCCTAAAGTCCAATTATATTTCATGGAAAACATGCATAAAATATTCATTATTTGACTTATTCGGTAGGAAATTACGTCTTCTTCCAATGTTATACTCGAAGGAAAGGTATTATTCGGTGTTTAAAAACTTTTCTGATTTCCGAATAATTTTGAACCCCTCTGCCGTCACACTTGCATTCAGGATTTCCAAACTACAAATCATGTATTTTCCGTGTACGGGAAACCACACACTTCTCTACGGTATTGAGAGTAGACTGTATGGGGTTCATAAAATTTAGCACTGGATTTGATCCATGTTGTTAACTTTAGAAGCCACATTGGTAAATGCAGACACATGACGTTCTATGAACGGCCATTTCAAGGTGTTTAAAAGTCTCACAATAAAAAACTTTTTAAAACCGAATTTTTTCCTTCTTTCGAGTATAAAATTGAAAGAAGACGTAATTCTCTACCGAGTAAGCGAAAGAATGAATATTTTTATTTACGATTTCCATAAAATATATCTGGACTTTAAGGGGCACCAAAAATCAATTAGACAAATGCATGCTAGTCATTTTTTACAGAGTACAGTTTTTGTGTGCAGCCGGAAGGCCGTTCGTTCGAGGTAACTGAGTTATTATAGAATTATATTGCAGACCGATTAGTTTTACAACCCTACTTAATTAATCTTTTCGAAACGAAAACATACTTCGGAATTTCGGCTGACATTTCATGAGTTGGCCCACCTACTGTAGGTCCCAAGTCTCCATCGTGAAGTAAATAACTACTAGTTGTGCCCGCTCCCGCTCCTTGTGAAAAATTTTTCAAAAAAATTAAAATTACAAACTGCGCTAAGTGCATCTGTCACGATGTGGGCAGTACTGGAAGATCGTATGCATGTTGCGGTGGAAATAATAGGTCACTTCGGGCATTTTTGAGAAACTCGCCTTCTGCGGGAAGCTCTGAAGTAGTTTGAGGACTTCGAGGTCGGTGTGCTTCCTCCGCGATCGACGCCGAAGGACTTAATTAAAAGGTCAGATGTGGTGTTCACTCCCCGCATCCGAGTCGTTACTTGCCGCCGTGATTTCGTCATCCGTGTTAGGTGTTGGTGTCAGGATTGCTCGGCAAATTGGCTCACTGTCACCGGGATAGTTGCTCACCCGCGCCCTCCCCACGTGACCAATTCCCCTGCCTAGCGGTGATTGCGAGAGCTGTTAATTACAGTACGCATATGGTCCCACGGAAGTCACGTGCTACAAATACTGCACTCCTTGTGCCACCATTACCCTTATCTGCGACCGTCTCTGATGATGAGTTCGCGTGAGAATTCGATACGTCGGGCCAATAAATTTATTGTTTCAGTGATCGCACCTGTTTTCGGAACTGCTACCTGGAACTCGCCTGTTCGCGTCTATCAGCAACTTTCAGTTGGTTTATGCGTTCTGTCAAGAGCGCCAAAGCACCTTTGAATGACTCAGAGGTTCGTAATAAACGGATAGAGCAGATAACAATGAGTCCGCGAATCAAATACATTTGTACACTGCATAGGCACCGCCCATGCCGGAATCAAAGTAAAAAAAAAGCTATCGTAAGTTCTAGATAGGTTGCCACGTCTATAGCAGTGATTTTTCTTCACTGAAATAATTAATTATGCCCCTGATGGAAGCTGCCGATCTCGCAAGAACTCACTGCTCTGACAAAGAAACCTGTCAAACAAAACTGAATTATTTGTTAAAACTGTTTTCCAAGAATGGGTATCCTAGATATTTTCTACACTGATGCATGAAACGGCAGGAGTTAAAAGAAAATGACAAGGAACTAGATTGTTCCGATCAGGCGACCAAACCAAAAAACTGGCGAACACTTCCGTACATTACGAATGTGCCCGAACTAGTTAAACGACATCTGAGGAAGCACCAAATACATGTGGCGCACAAGCTGACGACTACACTTCGTAACCAGCTTGTACACCCTATGGATAGGCTTGGCTATTTAGATAATAAGGAAGTCGTCTACAAGATACCCTGCAACACCTGTAATGCGGTTTAATGTGGTCAGACTGGGAAATCGGCCTCTACAGGAATGCACGAACATCAGTTGGTCGTAAAAAGGAGACACCACTTGTCCCAAGTTGTCATGCGTACGCTGGAAACTGGACACAGAAAGCCCATAACCTAAAGACCGCGGGCGACTACATCCGTCCGGTCACATGCATTACGATCAATTGAAAACGCCAAGTTCGAGTCAATTACAGTCCAAACAGGGCCTATACACAAAAGGAGGCTTGACATCCCAATACTGAAATATTTCGATTCCTTCGACCAGATACTGGTGCAGTGCTTTTACTTGCGTTACATGTCAGCATCCTATTTCCAACAGCGATGTACCTACATGCCTCAACGAGCCCAGAAAACGCATACTACATGCAATTATAGTTACTTGAAATGTCTACTGAAATTAAATCAGTACAGAGGTCTAGAAAGACAATTACCCCACTCAAGATGTCCTGTTGCTGCTGCCCACCCCATCAGAGGTGGGATTGCGCCCACCACAGAGCCAACCCAGGTGTTTACATGGGTGATACGCTTCAGAGGTGTGTAGACGGAGGTATAGAGGAGAAGGTTGGCGAGCGCCAGTCCTGCGACCAAGGGATTCACAGCATTGTAGAGCAGGATCACGCCAGAGAGTCCAGAGATGGCGGCAAACACTGACGCATGTTCAGGTCTAATATTTAGGCAACACGAAACAGCGTAGTTCGTCACATCTATGGGTAGCTGGCAGTGGTTATTAAGGCATTACAAATGAGGCCACTAAATTGGTAGGTATTATGTGAAAATGTACATGTGTTCCTTCAAAACGTAATGACAGTTCGACCATCGGTTTCGATGATGTCCACCGTGTGCCCCACAGCTGCAGCAGCAATGGGAGCAGGGACGGTGACTTACGCAGGGGTTTATAGTGCCGGTAGACTTGCGTAGCATCTACCTACACTCTCTCCTCCTCCCCCGCCCGTGCCCGGTGTCAAGACAGAGTCAAGAAGACCGGAGACGAGGGAGGCCGCAGGTGGATGGCTCGGACGGATCCTCACCTTGGCGTTCCACCACACCCCCTGGTCCACACAACAAATGACCAGGATTTCAACCAACCACAACAGAGATTTGGAGGCTGGCACGGCCGAAGCCGCACCTGGGCGTGCCGCCAACGTAATACGACGATGTCTTATGGTAGAAATAAAGTGCTTGTTGCTGGTTTTTCAAGCACAAACTACTGTATTCAAGTCAAGTTTAGGATTAAAATCGCTTATCCACCATTCCAAGCAAAGAGTAGACTATCAACTGAGAAGCCGAGACTGCATCGCTACCCGATACAGCTACCAAAAATCGGGCAACAAAAACTCTTTAAAGTCTATCCAACTTTGCAGCACTGATAGATGTGTCAACGGACTGACATCGGTAAACTCTTTTAATCCTAGAGGTTACAACCAAGTTTACTGGATTGGAGTCCGCGCACAGTGGTTGATGTGGTGCAAGCCAGGACTATGGACTCCGCGAATGAAAGTGATACGGCATCTATGCTAGAGCGACGGAATGAGCACTAATGAGATGGTCGAACACCACGAGGCTATCCAAAAGTGCAAGATAGTCGCTCACAGGAACACTGCTTATGGTCGTGGCGTTGGATGTTGCCGACTGGCGATAACTAGGGTCCTCCGATAGGCTGAGAATCAGGTTTCAGTGACTATGCTCTAGTGCGGCGTTCATGGCAGTTCATTTCATTTGCGTGCAGAGGAAGGCATGTGTATGGCACGCATGTCAGCGGTGCACCGTTCGAATAGTAGTGGCCTTCGTAGATCACGATGCATGAGACACCAGTGGTGGCGGTTACTGTTGTCGGATAAGAAATTGTTCCCCTCGGCGTCATTTGAACACCGTCCAAGGATCATAACCTTCCGGCTGTCCAAAAAACCGGTTAAGCCGTGCCTCACCGAACAGTAGGCGCGTGGGGCGGCTTTCTGGACTAACGGCTTCCTGTGGTAACTTAATTTGAATGTGGACGCGTCTCCATCCAACCCCATGGCGAGAAAGTTTAGGAGGGCTAGGGGTGAGGCATGAGTTTATTGCTGGCAATATTCGCCCTGCAATACCGTTAGGGCTTGTGAGCAGTTTACGGCCAGCCTCTACCTGCGGATGTGTCCGATAGCCCACAGCTAGGTTAACAGGCAGGTCCCGCCCGCTAAGGGCTCTACTCGTCCATGATGGTGGTGGTCATGAGTTAGATTTGAAACGGGGCCTACACTATGTGACGGAAGGGGTGTCTACTGGATTGAACTGTGGAGTGGAGCTGGCAACCCGCGCTGCACACCTGCATGGAGATTGACTGGTTGGCGTTTGTATCCCATCTTACAATCAGAGCAGTTCTGACCCTGCCCTACAACTGATGAAGGAGAGGGAGGCGGAGACCGCGCGATTCATTGTTGGACAGTGCAGGCAAACTACCGCAGCGGTGTCAATAATGACCGTAGAAATAACAGGCAGTACCAGAACTGGTCAGGTGTCCACACAAGTACTTCCAAATGAAATCGCGCAAGCGGAGAAAAGACAAAAACCGGAAATTTACGTTGTCAGGCCGCGAACAAGTGGTCGAGATTGAGTCCTCTTCATTTGACTGTCGTAGGGCACCTCGATTATCTGGGGAAGAGATAAACATAAGGGCAATTATGACTACTACAGTATCACAGTACCATAATCAAAAATCTAGATAGCAGGGGATTAAAATCCCGGCACCAGGAAGGTGGTGGACTACAAAGAAGGTGATTGATAGCAGGTAGAAAAATTCCCCTGCGCACAGAACAGCGTCTGTACTTCGAATATAAGTCGAGCCAAGCAAAAAGCGGTGTGTCCAGCAGGCGAGGACTGCGGGATGAAATGAAGATCGAAAATTGGCGCATCACTGACCTGAGAGAAGTGAGGCCATCAAACCTACTGCTTCACTCGCCCTCCCTCCCCGTAGTCGTAGCCGCTACTCTCTCCCTTACGTCATGGTAATACTTCTGGTGGTGGTGGTAGTAGTAGTAGTAGTAGTAGTAGTAGTAGTAGTAGTAGTAGTAGTAGTATTAGTAGTAGTAGTAGTAGTAGTAGTAGTAGTAGTAGTAGTAGTAGTAGTAGTAGTAGCAGTGGTGTATCTAAATAGTCTGTTCCCCTCCGGAGGGCGGAAGCTGTTGTAATTACGCATCATAGACAGTCCAGCAAACAACAGAGCCCGGCCGTGCAGAGCTTTGATTAAGTCTGGGGTGGATGGAACCTACTCTACTAAGCACTACACTATACCTTCTCACAGGTCAGTGCGAACAGCTCAGAAAGCCACGCTGCATAGTTGACCGTGTCCCAGCAACGAGACCCACGACAGAACGTCGGTTATTGCAATGAAACAGTATTCACTCCGACTTCGAGACAGGCGGGAACAATAGTTCGCCCACCGCGGGCGACTTCTTAGAAGAGAGCTTGGTGATAGCTACGCGTGGAAACAGAGCGGACCACCTCAGAAGCAAGTAAACTAAGTATTATAGGTACAGTGCATCAGAAAACGTAGGATACCACTAGGGGAGGCCAGAACTTTAGTAACATATCTTCCGGTAGTATGACTTAATCGAAATCGCCAACCAAGTCATGTTTCCAAGGGAGACAACCTGGAATTCATGGAAACGATTTGCGAGACCTGATGGAGCGACCACAGGTGTTGGCAGGCAACTCGGGAATCTGCAAATCGCCACATCGGAAGAGCGAAATTTCAACCTACCAGCTTCAACGGTTGTTCTATGGCTAAGAGGCCGTCGCCATCTGGCGAGTTTGCTATCAAATAATGAGGTCACGGTTGACATGAATGTCTCCGAGAGGAATCATCAGAGCGCATGCTCACATTTCAAGTGTCGCAAAAGCTGGGCATCGGACTGACTTAGAACTAAAACGGGAGCTATAAACGACATCAAACAACGAACCTGGTGTCATATGCATGACTTTCTAAGACCAGGAAACTGAATAACTCACAAAATACCGAAATCTCAAAATTCCGGGAGTGAAACGACGAACCGATTCCTATCTTGTTGGCATACTGGTTCTGTCCGCATTCAGCGGCATAAAGCTCTTGTTTACAAGTTGGTGAGGAGAGGGGGTGAGAAGAAACGATCAGTGAATGCGAGGTTGAGCTCTCAACAATCTTAGCTCGATAGATTCTGTGAAGAACCTGTGCCATTTATACTGAACAGTTGGGAACACAGATGAAGGAGGAGGCGCGGAGTATCCGCTCGGCAGGTGCGATTTTGCTGATACAAGTGAAAGGCTGAGCTCTAAGAAGCCGTTAAAAAAATGGGACGCGATCATTGGTGTTTCGAATTCAGACTCGAACCAACCGGCGGAGATAGGCATTATGGGCGCGCAAGGGTTAGAACGTTTATAGGACACAGTTGCCATGTCGCTGCCATAATTGGCAGCTTCTGTATGCATCTCCTCCTAAAATGCAGTCTTGCCCGTCAGATCTCATACGGTTTAATTTATACGTATAACGCAGGGACGCTCGAATCTGGTTGATTAAACACAGTCAGCTCACTGGCTTAAGCTAGTAGGAGCTGTAGTCTAACGACCCAGTGTCGGGTCGGTTAGTGTAAGGCTAAGTCACGAACAGGAACAAAAGTAGGGCCTTGAACAGCTTAAAGAACAACCCTCAAGTGACTTCAAGATGGCCCACATAAACGGACCTCTTTAGGATAAACTGCTAGTGGTGCTGACGAATCGGGAGAAGGGACTGCGTGAAGGAGTACTACTATACCCGAGAGACACTGTAAAGGAGAGGGAGAACAAATTAAACGATGTTGACGAGGCATGACTAACCTGGTTAATTGTGTTGGCAGAGGCCGATGTCAGGCCAGTGCCGAGAGCCAGAGCAAACATCATGGCGGCCGGATGTGCGAGGAAGGCCTCAGAAGCAAAGGAAGTTGGTGCAGCAAGGGTACAGCCTGCAAGTGCTGTGGAAACCACGAGGCCTGTGAGACGAGCCTTGGAAAGCGCAGCGCACACAGAGATTGTGTGATGGATCAGGCGATCAGGTCGGCGAACCACCGGTGAGGCGGCCAGATAGACATTATCGGGTGGTTGGTGGCGAGCAGGTGGATCTGAAGTACAGAAGACGACTCATTATACAGTAACAAGGTGAAGTTGTGCACGAATATGCTATGGCCGCTGAGTTGAATGGTCAAGTCCTCACGACGCCTTGCCTTTGGCTCTGATTCCTGCCAGTTTGGTGGAGGCACACAAGCCGGCAAAGACAGTGTGAGGGCAGGTGTTTCTGTTCAAGCAATTCGCACTAGTGGCGGATAGGCAGTATTACTCAGCTCTTTAATAGAGTTGCGAAAGGTAGCATACTTGTTTCGATTGTCTATCGGCCCCAGATAAGACGGTTGTAAGTTGACGCATAGTGGAAAACAGTGACAGCAGATGTCGAAACCAAGGGAAGATCACCGTTCCCCGTAGAACGGATGAAAAGTAACTCGATTCAGCTCTTAAACATAAGCATACGATTCGAAAATTTGACATCAAAATCAATGGCCACATCGCTTAGACGTTCTTTTCCTTAATTTCAGATAAGAATAACCCTGCGCGTAGAGTCCCGACGGCAGTCTGGCATAGGAGGGCGACGAAATGTCGATGGTCCGAGAACCACTTCCATATTGTGACGGACGGTGTCAGGTCAGGTTCTGAGTTGATCCCCCCCCCTTCAACGCCTTCAAGTGGGTAGCGGCACCAGGTCGGGGACAGAAATACTGAGTTCTTAAGGTGGACAACAAACGTGTCCAAACCACCGCAGCCATCTTTCTTGGATAGCCTGACATATTCCTGAGGTGTCGCAGCGGGTGCGGCTGTCTCATTTGTGACAAATTCGGTGAACTTCAATCGGAGTATAGTCCTCCAGCAGCGGTCAAATGTCTTCAGTTTTTGCTCATCTTCCATGCGCACAGCCCAGCATTAACAACCGCACAGGACTGACCGGAGAGATACATGGTACACGCGAATGCTCGCGGCGATGGGGATGTCGCGTCGGGTCCGTGGACACTCTCGAAGGCTTGAAAAAATCCAGTGGGCAGCATCGGTCCGGGAGACAATGCCGTCCATACTCTATCCATTCGATGACGGCAGTGTGACACGGTGGTAGCGAATCGTCATTAAATAAATTTGCTTACCATGGTTGCCTTCTGGTTAGGTTTTTAAAGCAAAGCCTTAGAGGAGACAAGCTTGAACTAATGATGTGAGCGACTGTTGGGGAGCCGCCTGTACTCATAATTTCCCAGACATTTCGAAAATATGTCCGAGTGGACACTTCTGCCGAAGAAAATAAATATCATAAAAACTCGATAAGCGGTAGCAGTAAAGAGGATACGAGTTTTTGTGCTGCAAAATCCCGACAATGTTGTGAGTGGTGAAAAAGTATACCGTGGCCAACAAGCTGGCCCAGATAACTAACCTCTTTCCGAAGCCTCCGTACCAGGACCGATGAGTAGTTTATATGGTTGAGAAGGTCCGGTTAGACGCAGAGCATTGGAAATTGAAGCAACAGAAGAAACAGGCTCTTGAACAGAGAGGGAAGACAGAGGGGCTGTGGATCGTCTGTCACGGTGAGCGGTCTAAAAACAAGCGCAGTACATGCAGTCAATAGTCAACATAGATTACCATTTGCATACAATCAGTAACCTAATGATCTGGATGTCCGTGTAATTCACAGACCAATGGGGATAGAGAGAGGGGGTACGAGTATGCACTGACCTTCATTGATTTGGTTTTCTCTGGAAATTCGTGCAATAGCTTTGTCGGAGAAAGCTTTGCACTGTGTGCATAACAGAGTCTTGATGGCAGTTGCAACAGTGAACGCGCTGACGTGAACTTGGGAGTCAGGAAGACGAGGGGTAATCTAGAGATATGTGGACTGGGCATCTTAGATACTGTCCCCACAGCAATCGGTCAGAAAAATTTCCGCGAGGACTGGGATTCGTCGATCGGATAGACTACTGTTGGCTCTAGTTAACGATCTAACTCGCTCACAAAGACCCGGAAAGAGAGTTGGGAGGGAGGCCTGAAAAGCTTTTACGCCAACAGAGTCTAGGGCTGGAGTTTGAGCGGTTGGTGTGCACAGGTAGACAAGGGAGGTCAATGCATTCACTATAACTTCCGGATCCTGAGAGTGTAGGCAGTTGGCTAGGAGAGGAACACCACCAGACGTGAACAAATCCTCGCGAATGGGCTGAGAAGAGGAAATGAGATTTGTCAAGCCGGCGACGGAAAGGGACAAGAGTCGAGAGGAGGACGTCGGATCCGTCTGTGATGCAGTCGGATTAGACGGCTGAGACACTGTAGGTGAGCAAGGAGTGGAAAATGGGTCAAGGACTCATTTTAACTTGTCTATGACGTTAAAACTTCCAAGAACAAGTACGGCAAGTAACTTGGCTGCCCCTCGGCGAATTGAGACTTCAAGGATTAGGTCATAAAACGTCTTACTTTACTGACAACTTACGATCTTGGATCACGGCTGACACTCTGCAAGGCACCACAAATGGACTTCTTAATCACGTTGAACAGCGATATGGAATCTAGCGTTAGATGTGATACTTCAACCGAGGTCTCCCCGCAGCTGGTTTAGAGGCAGTGCTAGGGCAGAGTCCACGGACTCAACAAAGACTAACTTCTAAACTCATTTGCAGCAAGACTGACAAGTTTTGCGTTTACGGGGAGATCGTTAATGAGGTGAGAAAAACGAGTCTGCATGTAAACATCTAACACGACATACACAATCGTCGGGAATATCCCACAAAGTGTCTTATTATGGAGGTGTTGGCGTCAACTGATCTTCACTTGCCTTGCAATCGCGATTTGTTCAAATTTAATTCAATCGTATCACGAAACAATTTGGTAACTCCGATACCAAGTAGCTGAGACGAATTTCTTGGATCATGGGCAAAATTGCCTAAATTAGCAATGATCTGAACATTAGGAAGTGAAATGCTGCCTTTACCTGCTCCTTATACTCGGTCAAGTTTGTGCAGCGGAACTCGTTAACCAGAGACTCTAGATATTTAAGGCGTTCGACACTACCCGGCTCCGCTCGATGGCCGGACTTTAGAAAAAAAGGGGCAAATTCCGGATTCTTCTGCTGCAACAGTCGTGGCTTTGATGTTCCTCTGGTTGACATTCACGCAAACCAACATCCTATCCGCGATGGCGCGACATTTGTTTCCAGCGCGGCAATTACGGTGAAGAAAATCTATTCATACAACACATCGAAGGTTCCCGTCATGAAATGCCTTTTGTAGAATCTCCCCCATATAAATCTACGGAATGATAACTTTACCTTAATTTTATCATGTGTGGTCGAAATATGCAAAACATTTTACCATTGACATTACTGGTGAGGCGAACGCCAGGAAATAAAACCACATGAATCAAACGCAGAAAATCTCAACTTATGGGAAAAGCGAGCAAAAAATAAAGGAACTTATATAGCCCATATTCAAAGATCACAAAACCGGAAGGTAAAGGGAAGGAATACAGACGGCATAGGGAAAGAAAGAGTTAAATTAAGAAAAACGGTTTATCTGCACCAAATCAGCCAAAAGCAAGTGTAACTAGGACATCGAGTCATGCACAGCAGGCAACATTGCGTTCTATTATAATTGGACATAACTGGGCGCTAAACTCAGTAGACATCTCGCACTTATATATAGGCCTATTTTTCGCACCACCATGATACGGCCAACATAAATTACTCGGAGGTTTCATACGTAAGGGGTAAGTTGTATTTAGTGTGTTTTCCTCTGATCATCTATTTCAGTCGTTGAAAACTCCTCATAAGGACTGTCCAGTCAGAGTCCTGTTGTTTCTTAGGATCAGGCAACTTCCACGTTTTATCTGTAATTGAGTGCATAAGATAAGGTCATTTTTCCTGAGTCTTTAGGGGACTACGCGCTCTAAGTATGTTTTGTTAGGCGGGGTCTCGGAGATGTATGCTCAAATTAAAGTTTCCCACCCACCTGTCAGCTCGACCGTCGCGAACGACTCTCTCTAAAATTTACCCCACAGCACTATGAAAGCAAGGGCGGCGACTTCCAAATGTATTTATTTGTTGTAATAGTACGCTAACGCACATCTGCCGCACTCCCCCTCCACCACCTCCCAAGGTCCAGTGTCAAGATCGATTCAAGGAGGCTGCAGGTTGGGTTGGGCACGACGGCCGACAGAGGTAAAAAGGTCGTCTATGCTTAAACACACAAACTGGCCTGTACGCACGTGTGCCAGGATTTTACACAAAAGTTTGATGTGCCATGGAGAACAAATTAATTGGAAGCCATCTCGGACTGACTCCTTGCAGAGAGGAACGTTTAGTTATTCCGCTGGTTCCCAGTCTTCGAAGTCACTGCTTCTGGCGGATCGTGACAGTTAAAAACACGCAGGATTCTTTATAGTGAGGAATATACGCTAAATACATTAGCGGGGGGGGGGGGAGTCCCGGATTTTATCTCTTTCGCTTATCCTTCTGCCAGTCGCAAGTCCATTGTCCGAGCCGGCCGACCAGCTGATGGGGGTATTAGGAACAAGTGATTGACACACAAAATCCCGTCTGGAGCTGATACGCACTCTATGGTCCCCCTTGTAATAATCCAGATTTTCCCAAATATGAGGATACTCGGATGTCACATGCGTTAGAGTTCTTGGCATTGATAGGCTAACGTGGACTGCGCCACGTCTTTAATCATCGATTTTAATCACAAACTACTATAATGGGCAACGGACAAACTCCTCTGCCATTAGGTTATCTTTATAGCGAGGTTTGTGAAAGGCCAGCAGTTGAACTGCCTTGATCGCATTCTTACCCGAGAGGAGGAAAATGTGTCGAACCTGCAGGACTGCACACCGTTGGGGTCAAACGAACAATTCATGCCCTACTTCGAGCAATCGCTGTTTTTAAACCAATTCTGTCAGATAGGTGGGAGAGAAACGTTTGGAAGGTGTACAGTTCTCTCATGAGGAGAGAACTGTCGGCCGTATCACGCGAGACTGGACTGCATGTTCGCGCAAACGACAATTGAAACTATTTAGTCCTTACTAAAGGAGATTGTTTATTTCAACTGTTCTCTCAGAAGAAGGACATTAAAAAAAAACAACTCAAAGTGGATTTATTCAAAATAAGAGACTTCTTTCAAAGAAAGAAATCGCCTTTGGCAGCGTCACAGATTAACCGGTTTAGAAAAAGCCTTACGGGAATATAATCGGCAGCGCTACGTTTGTTAAAATGTGGCTTCCAGGCAGTGAACGAAGTTCTAACTGAATATACAGCTAAATTCGTCGAAATATTCGAAAGCTCTATATGGCTGTATACGAAGTACTAAAAGGACTCGGGAGCTTCTCCTTGCCCTTAGGTCTAGAGATGAAAAAGTGGAGACTGTTGGCCAGGTTAAAGCTGCCCACGTTTCTAATTTCCTTCAGTCCACCTTCACCGAACTAATGTTTGTAAAACCGTGTTGTTTGCATGCCGATACTGTGCACACAGTCGGAAAAACTACCACTCTTAAAATTACAGTCATATGACTCCGGTGGCATGGTATTTTTAAAAATTGCCGTCTGAAATTTACGCGGGATTCAAGTTCATGTTTAGTTTGACGAAGGGTAGCAATAAACATGTATAAACATCCAAGCTTTTCGTGAACCATTGTGAGGACGTTGTCCCCACAGATGTCTGAATGAGATTACACCACCGTTCTTCTATCTCATGAACAAAGAAGGCGAACCGAACTTTCAGCGTGGAGCCACAACAAACAAGGCTCACTGTAATGGAGGGTCCTGTCCCACAAGGCTCATTGGCATCACCGACTCTCTTTCTCTTGGCAATTAATGATTGTGTAGAGGAATGTCATCCACGATGCTTCCGACGAGACCAATTTTTGAAAAACTACTTGTCGACTGGACGAGTGGTCCCGCACATTACTCCTATCCCTCAATATCAACAAATGCATTAGTCTGCGTCTCGGAAATCGAAATTAATATTATAATACGCGAAAATATTATCTGAACGGGATGCCACTCCGAGGAACAGAAGCTAAACAAGACCTTGGAATCTGGATTACAGAAACCCTAAAGCCTTCTACGCGATGTCGCAAGGCAGTCAAGGCCGCATCTTCAATAATGTACTCCATCGGACGGGCATTCACAGTTTTCGATGAAGGATGCTTCTCCAAATTCTTTGGCACGTTTGCAAGGCCAGGGCTTGAATATGCAATCCTAGCTTAGAGTCCGTGAATGCAGCGGCGAGTCACAAAATTAGTTAGAGGCAAAGTACACTGGCTTACCAGACCCGCCTGAATAACCCTCAGCGCTATCATCTGAGTTATAGGCAGGTGCGCGGAGCCATGGTGCAAACTTTCCGTATGGCATGTGGCTTAGACTGTGTCCTCCTGTTTGCGACTTCTTCCAACACAAATTTCCACCTTTGCCCATTCGGAAGAAGAGTTACCAACGACCACTCCCTGTACAATGGAAGACAGAAAACTCCTGATCCATTTAAACATTCTTCCTTGAATTCTTACCTTCCAGGTCTTCAGTAAAAGAGGCCAGTGTTGGACAATATCAAAGGCCTTCTTGAAGTCAAAAATATGACATATACTGATAAACCCTATCGGTAACTCCTGCCCATTTCTCGTGCGAGCATAGAACACTCGTTAGGTAGGAACATCCTGAACGAAAGTCATGTTGGGCATCGTACAATATTTTGTTTTCTTTCCAGGTATTGCATCAAATGTCGTTTGATAATGTGTTCCATTACCGTACAAGCGATTTAATTAAGACCAACGAACGATAATTTTCGCCTTCAAGTCGGAGACTTCCTTTCTGGATCGCAGTTATGAGTGCGCACTTCCATTTTTGCGCGAGCTCGCCTTCTTCAAACGACTTTTGAAATATTATAGACAAAAAGGACTATCCTAATCCGCATCTTAAACCCTCGCAGAACTCGTTATTCAGCGTCGATGCTTAATTCTTGCTCTCTGTTTCGAGAGTTGGCGATCTCTAACAAAGTTTAATATATAGAGATTCGTACAAGTTTGATTTTACTAAGCTAAAATTCAGGCGGAAAAGGTGAAATCAAGCCGTAGGAGTCGTACGAGTGGCAGCTGGTCATTCACTACTGGGTTAGTAGGTAAGAAAGTTTCGTAATCTTTTTTGTCCTTGGATATCATCATCTCTTATTACTGGGGACCAGGTGGCTTTAATTTCTCACGTATAATGTGTTATTACGTTTAATGCTTAATACGACGTCCAGTGCATTTCAGGTTTCGCGATACGCAGTACACAAATGTGCATTGACAATGTCCCCTCTATCTTTTTGCCTTTTGCCCACATGCCGTGTCATGCATTCAAAAATGACCACACTTACACCTGAGGATTACGATTAGCCCACTTCATTGTCATCAACATCTACAGGCGATTTTTCATTTAATGACAAATCAGCTAGTATTTTGCCACGCTAACGAATATTGCGAACCAGTCGTCTACATCCTTATGCACCTTCTGAGCTTCAAGATCCCCGTGTAAACATAAATGTTACAATTATTATATAGTAATTAAAGGGGAACACGATTAACAGGATTAAAAATCATTTCTCCGTATCGCTTTCGTGCGCACACGATGAGAGCAAGCACTGATGGCGCCTCTTCTCTCGCGAGATCGCAGCACCATCATAGGTTGACAACCAGTGACCCGCAACATGTCATCTGCCCGAAACGGCTAGTTATCAGGACATACCAGTGTCGCGACTTCGACTGGTGTTAGTTAGGGCTTTGTTATCTGCCAATTTTGTAACGGTTAAGATTTCCACCGGTGTTAAGGCCGGGTGTCCGACATTTACGAACCACTTCTCAAGATTGCCTCTCGTGTTATTCTCTGTCGCCTTGGATGATATGTTTTCATCTTAGCGCGATACGCTGGTATCTTACCGTCGCTCACACCGACTAACCTGTTAGGAGATTGGAGGAGGTCTTATTTCTCTTGAAACGGTCTAGGTTAATTTGTTTAGCACTCCAATGTTTTGAACAGCCTCGCAGGATGTCTATGGGATCTTCCTGACAGTTTTCGCGATATTGGTCGTTTAAGGGATCGTCAGGCATCAATTTGTCGAAATTATTTTTAGCGGAGACTCATAAA